TCTCTTGAGGTTACAGAGCTTCAAGATGATGTCGTACTGCAGGTTGTGATACCTGGCACATCTTGAGGGCACAATAACCCGTGGTGGTAGTTACTGGAAGCTGTCAGAACGAATTGTGTAACGCCTGGGTGACGGAAAAAACACATAACATGCCGGGTTTCTGATTCCGACATTCCATCCTCTTCAGGTCTAGAAACCCAGTTTCCTTTCCCAAATGTCCCGCCCTTTATGACACATCCCACTGGCTGCTTCCCAGCTCCCGCTTAAGTTTGGGACAGGAGAAGGTTCTAGGTGTTGTCCCTTGGGAGATGACTGGGATTTGGCTGGGAAATGCTGAGCACGCTCTCGTAGGCGTGTCCCACCCACCTGAATGGGGCAACGCTCCAGGAAGCACAGAGCACACGTGGCCCAGGTCACCCAGACCCTGAGAGGAGCCCGGCTGAGCCTTATAAAGGGGCAGCCTTTGCCCAGATGCACACACATCTCACCGGTCCTTTCCTCAGTGACACCTCGTCAGCTCCGGTAAGTCTGACTGCGTTTTCCAGGAGAAGCCCTCAGGGCCCGACGTGCGCTGCTGTCATGGAGCAAGACAAGCAGTGATGGGGGTGTGGGGGTTCAGGAGTCTGGGTCCGTGTCAGCTCTGTGTCCAGCGGGGCTGTGACTCCATCCCTCTGAGGGCCTCATCTAGAGCCAGATGATGGACCAGCCTCTCCCCATTGCTCCTTGGCTCTTCTGTGATCACTGCCGTGCAACGTCCCCAGTGGGTGCGGAGGACACGATTCTCCCTCTTCTTGTCTTCTGTCCTCTGGACTCACCTGCTGTCAGGCCCTGGGTTGCTAAGACCCACTCTGTAGCCGCACCTCGTGGAAAGAGTGTATCCCTGCCAAAGTCTGGAAGGTTCTGTGACCCCCAGTCCTGGGATTCCCCACTCACCACTGCCCTGGTGAGAAGACCTGCGCCCACCTGGGTCAGAGGCTGATCAAGCAAAGGCCTCGCCTCCGCCCCCGCTGGCGGAAACCCAGTGACCGTCTGGCACAGGGCTCAGCTCTGGCCTTGGTCAAGTTGACAGAAGGCCTTGGGTGGTTCCACTTAGCGATGTCATAGCANGCAGCAAAGCCTCCCGTAGGGCAAGGAGGCTGAGTCAAGTTCACGAAGGGTCAGAATGAGGGCAGGGAGGGGCCCTGAGACAAGGAGCCAGAAGGTGGGCAGGAAGGAGGGGGCAGAAGATTCTTGGCATAAGGGCCTCCCGCTGGGGGCTGGCCCAAATGAGGTGCTGCTTTCTCCTCCCAGCGCCTCCACTGTCCCCAGCTGCTCCAACCCCGGCATCTCCAGAGTTGCCCCCTCTCCTGGGCCCGGGGCCCAGCCGCCACGATGGACACGCCAGTGGAAGAATCCCTCTTCCAACTCATTCACTGCTACCACCAGTATGCGGCCCGCGAGGGGGACGTGGAGACCCTGTCTCTGGAGGAGCTGAAGGCCCTGCTCATGGACAATGTGCCCCGTTTCATGGAGAGCTTGGTGGGTCAGGGGGGGATGAAGTGGAGGGCTGGTGTGGGGCTGGGAGTGAGGGTGTTGGTCGGTGCAGCGGGCATCTCCCAGGAGGATTTCACTTTGGCGGAGGGGCATGCTGAGGGCAGAATCTGTGGCTAGAGGGAGGATGGGCCCTGGCCCTCTTTATCTCCTGAAGCTCCCTGCCTGGCCCCACTCCAGCCCAAGCCTCGCTAATCCCCGAAACTTCATTTTAACCCCGAACCTGTTTGTTCTCTCCTGAGAGAACAAGCCCTAAACCTTCCCCCCTGCCCACAGCCCTTTCAGTCAGCCCCTTCTCCTGGGGTTTCTGTAAATGGTGGGTGGAGTGGGGTGTGGGCAGGGTAGGAAATGTAGCTTTCCCTGTCCCTCTTGTTTGCGGGGCTAACAGAGGCTTGGGCCAGCCTGGAGGCCCAGCCCTGAATCCAGGAGACACCTGGATGTCCTCATGGTCTGCACATCTCTGTCATCAGGCCTGCACATCTCTGCCATCAGGCCTGGCCCTGTGATGACCGGGCTCCCTGGGTGCACAGAAGTATCTGTGGGGCGCTGCCTTCTGCCCTCTGTGCCGGGTCTCTGGATGGTCATCTGCAGAGGACTTCCGGTCCATGTCCCAACTCAAGGCCACTGCATTCCAGAAGTGCCCCTTGGTCCCTGAGTGTCTCCCTTTGCCTGCCTTTGGGAGCATCAGACAGGAGACCCTTGCCTTCAGTTTATTGGGGTGTAGCCACGAGGGTCACAGAGCGGGGACTGGGGTGATTGTGCTGAGTCCCCTGTTTCTAGGGAAACCTTTTCCCTACCAGGGCCATTTGCCTACACCGCAGAGACCACCAGACCTTGTCACTTACTGGGGTATGGACCCCCCATGGACAGACACCGGGCGCAGGGCTGACAGATGGCCGCCAGGGCCAGTGGGCTGAGTGAGGGACGCCTCCAGTTTCTCTGGTCAACTAGCATTGTGAAGCAGATAGATTATATGAAGTAGCTGGTAGTGGGTGATGATGGGAGACAGGGTGCCAACCTGACTCCGGGGACAGGGCCTGCCCTCCAGGCCCACAACTGCTTACACACGCAATGACTTCCTGCCCCAGGGCTTTCTGAGGGCTCCGCACTGGGGTCCCCACACCACCAACCCCATCCTGCTGCAAGCCGCTTTGCGGCCCCTGCCCAGGACCCCCACCGTGTCTTAACCTGTCCCCGCTCCTGGCTGCACTCGGACCCCTGACTTCCTTCCTGCTGTCCCTGCCACCTCAAATGCTCCTTTCCTCTCCTATGCCATCCTCAGTCCTCAGCCTTCAGGGCCACCTGTTCTGGGACGTCCCGGACAGCTCCAAGGCCCATGGCTTTGCCTTTTCTCTCACTCTGCACTTCCCCTAGGTGACACTGGCCAGGTGTCATAAACAATCCTTGGGCAGATGCCACAGCATGCAGATATCTGACCCCACTTGGTACTGACCGCAGGGTGCTGGAGATGCACACAGGACGGACAGGTGGGCTCTGCCCTTGGCAAGTTCCCCAGCGAAGGCCCGGGCTGGGCTGCCCCTGCAGAGGATTCGTAGGTCGGCCAGGAAGACCGGCTTAGAGGGCACCAGCTGAGGGTCAGGCGCTCGGCCGTGCTCAGCTCCTACAGACGGTCAGCCAGCGCGTGGTGCCCAGTCTGCACCGTCTGTCTGCCCCACGCAGCCCAGGTCCAGGTGCCCAGCTGCCATCTGCCCCTTCTGCCTGATTCTGCAGCACGGGGTGTCCTGGCCACTGAGTGAGGGGCTGTTTCCTGCAAGGCCCTGGCAGGCAGGGCTACCCACAGTACCCTGGCCTCGTCCCCCACTGGCGGGAGGTGGAGAGCCTGGCCATCTGCAGGGCCGAGCGCCTGGGTGGGGGCTGACACTCTGCCCACTCCTCAGGGCCGGAAGGAGCCATACTTCATTGCCGAGCTGTTCCGGGCCGCAGACAAGGACAAGGACAACCAGCTTTGCTTTGACGAGTTCCTCTACGTCCTGGGCCGGCTACTGAGGGACTACCATCTACAGTACCACCGGCAGCTGTGTGCCCATTACTGCGCCCAGCACAGCCTGTACTAGAGGCAGCGCCGGCAGCCTCCCCACAGGGGCCGGCCCCAGAAGCCCGCGTGACCCAGCTGCGGGTGGCGAAGGGGAGCTCTGTCATGTGTGCCTGCGTGTCCCGATGTGTGTGTACCCACACGTGCACGTCTGTGGGAAGGACAGGTGGCAGGGAAGAGAATAAATAAAACAATTGTACAACGGCTTCTGGTGTCACTCAGTTCATGGTCAGGGAGTCGGTGATTGGCCCAGGAAAGGGAGGCTTTGATCCCCCCAGGTAGACGATCGTCCATTTTGGGTAAGAGACAGAGCCCCTGCCTCCAGGAGCCCCTGCCTGAGGGGGGAGACAGCCCCCGCCCTGAGCCTTCAGTCCAAGAGTGAGGCCTCTCTTCTCTTGGGGAACTGGCCTCCTGACAAGTGGTGTTTTGGTCATTCTTTCACTACACATCCGCGACGGGACAGGAACCAGGAGGGCAGAGGCACAACTGGACATGGACCCTGATTTTGAAGGTCTCCCTGCTCTGGGGGACAGCCCCAGTGAATCAGTGTACAAAGGCCGAGCGGCCTGTGGAGGGGCCAGGACAGGGCTGGCAGGTGATGCTGGTAATTGGCCTGGGGTGGATGGCGTCAGGGCCAGTCTGAGAAGGAAGACTGTGGTGGGTTGAGCACGTGATGAGTCAGAGACCGTGAGGAGGGCAAAGCCAACACTCCAGCCTGTTACGGGGAGGAGTAAGGATTGGTAACTCAGTGACTGTCAATTAGGGAAGTCTTCCTGGAGAAAAGAAGGGTTGCGTCTGGTTTCACTAATAAAAAATGATGATGAATGTGGGTGTTACTTCAACTCAGGGCTACTTGTGACTCACTGATGCAAGCCGTCCCGTGGTCCCTGGAAGCCCAGGAATCTGACGCAGACGCGCTTCGGGAAGGTCTCCTCTGCCTTGAGGCCCCGCCAGGGCCCATCCTGGTGGGCCTCTGCTCGGCGGATGGTTTAAGAACCTGCGTCTTGGACTTACTGTGGTAGAAACAATGAGTTCTAAAAGAATGATGGGTGCTTATCTGCGTTGCTCCCTGTGCGAATGGGGGGCGGTCATTTAAGGGACTTGGTTTGGTTCCTTCCCCCAACTGGGTCTGGGTGCCACATGAGGGGAGCAGTTCCCTGCGGGCTGAGCAGGGACCTTTGTCTCTGATCAGTCAAGCTCTGAAGTCGAAATTTGCTCCCCTGCTCCCTGGGCCGCCCCTCCCACACCTGCCAGTCCGCCAATGCTTGCCTTTGGGGGCTCAGCTGGGCCCCACCCTTTCCCCTGTGGACTTTCCTGCGCTCCGTGGGGCCTGAACGGCCCCGTGGAGGTGCGTGTCCTGCCATGACGTGATTGGGTGTGGTTGGGTTTGCTGTCTGTGTCCTCTACCAAGCCAGGGACGCATCTTGTGGCCTCCCTTTCCCCGTGCAGGGCCCGGTGTCAGCACAGGCGTTCCTCAGTGGTGTTGGAGGCAGCAAAGCAGGGACGTGATTGGAATCTGCTGACCCGGGTGTGCGCAGCGTCTGCGGGTCTCTCGGGAGACAAGGAGACAGGGAGACAGGGAGACAGCTGGACCCAGCCCAGGGGAGGGTTCTTCCGTCTGTCTCACCTGAACCGACTTGGGTTCCACACGCCTTTGAGGACAAAGGGGCCCCTCAGCCCACTCGTTGTCTTCCTCCTGCCCCTTCCTGGGGGGGTCTCTCCATGGCCTGCCTGAGCTGCCCTCATTTTCTCAGCCTAGGCCGGGCCTGCTCGGGTCCACTGGGACACTCACAGGACCAAGCTTGTTTCTGTAAACGGGGCTGGGTTCCACATCTCCTGGGTGGCCCCACGTCTGACAGTCTGATTACCGGCTCTGCCTTCCCCCCACGAGCTTATCCGGTTCCCGACATCCTCTCCTTCCGGGGCAGCTCAGCGGCTCTGCTCGCCCAGGAGCCCCCAAGGCTGCCTGTCTTGGGGGAGTGTCTCTGGCGGCCTCACTGGTTAGCAGGCTCCCCCGGCTAGCACACCATCCTGGGAGGTCAGGGCTGGCAGCTGCCTTGAGTTTCCCTTACTGGACCTGGGAGCTGTTTTTCCTTAACTCTCTGGATGAAGAAAGCTGTCTCCATGGGGACCATTTTCAGGGGGCTGGCTTCAAGGAAGGCATCTCTCGAAAGTCAGGGTCTGGGATGGTGTCATCTCCAGGAGCCTCCTTACCACTCCCACTTTGAGGGTCAGCATGAACTCCACCCCCCGCTGGCCAGCCACTCCTAAGGAGAGCCTCAGAAACGCCAGCTTGCTTGTTCCAATGTCTGCTTTTTGGCACCTAAGCACCAAGACAAAGCAGAACACATGCCCACGGCAAGGAGCTTGAGCAACCCCCTGTGCCTCAGTTTCCTCATCTGTTACATAAGGATAATTGTGCCTGTCATACCCAACTCACTGGGTTAGTGGATGTTAAAACACTCTATAAAGATGATATGCTATTTGGGGTAAGGTGCTATTACGCCAGGTCATACAGGAGAGGGCCCGGTGAATAATAGGTATGCACCAAGTGCTCCATCACTGGATGACAATGTGTCCTATTATATGTCAGAAACAGCCCGATTTTCCTGTTAAGAGGTTGACTAAGAAGTTAGGCTGTATTTGGTTGGTGGGTTTATATCTTGCCTTGTTCCCAAAATGATTCAGGGTGGCTGGTGCAATATAGGGAATTTCTGCGGGTAGGTCAAGTGTTCAGTTCCACGTTCATTTATTCCTTCAGTGAATACTAACTGAGCGCTCAGTATGTGCCAGGCCCAAGGGTTGCGATGTGGTTTCTGCTCCAAAGAAAAGGCAGATAAGAAACAGATGAATCACAACACAGCAGGAACAATGCTGTGATGCATAGGGGTTTGCAGAGCAGGAGAAAAGAATGAACTCAATGTCCCCAGGGGTGAGGCGGGAGGGTCAGGGACGGCCAGCAGGTGGCGCCTGGGCTGGATCAGGAAGGACCAGGGGACTTGACTGGCAAAGAGGCACCCCAGGCAGGGCAGGAAGTGGATGTAGCAACATGTCCTAAGTCATCCCAATCACTCAATGCACTGAGTGCTATGTCTCTCTGTGGGCCTGAGTCTCCTCATCCAGAAAGTGGGAATTATGAGAGTCCACAGTGCATAGGGTTATCGTGAGAAATGAATGGATTGTTGTAAGTAAGGCACAACAGCAACTGGCCCACGGTGGAAGCTCAATAAATGTTAGCTATGATTTTGCTATTACTTGTTCTTATTATTGATCATCGTTTCTGTTATTGTGCGTGTCAGGCACTGTGCATGGTCCAGGCTGGGTCCTCGAGGGCTGACAGCCCAGCTGGGGCGTCAGGCACGTTCATGGGCAGTCAT